CAAAATCTGAAATTTAACTACATACTGAAAAAAGTCTTTGGTACAGGTAATCAAAGAATCAATCTTGTAATTCTTATTAGTGCGTCTGCGTAAGGCTATATGCATAACGGGTTAGTTGTAACTCAACCCTTTTTCTCAAAATCAACTATAATGTAAAAGTAAGAAAATCGTATACCTACAAAATGTGAAATATACCTACATACATGTAATCAAAAAATCAATGTTGTAATTCTTATTAGTGTGACTGCGTAAGGCTATATGCAAAGCGGTTTAGTTGTAACTCAAACCGTTTTCTCAAAATCAACTACCATGTCCAAGTTAGAAAATCTCATTCATCGAAATATTCATTTCCGACCCTATAAAGTATATATTCTTGATTTGGGTAAAATTCTAAGACAATCTAGTCATGTCCGTCCGTCCGTCTGTTGTAATCACGCTATCTTTTGAAGGAATTAAGGTAGGGTGCTGAAATTTTGCACAGGTTTGTCTTTTGTCTGAAGGCAGGTCAAGTTCGAAGATGGGATATATCGGTCAACGGTTAGGCATTGCTCGCATATAAGAGTATCGGTATTTTGTGGTTCTAGAGCGAGTTTTTCATCCGAATTTGCAGAAATTTAGTACATGGGGTGCTAAAAGTCTCCACAAAAAATTTTGAACATAGGTCCACTTTTTCTGGTAGCCCCATATAACGGTACCTCCTAATTTTCAGTATTTTGGGGGTTTTTATCGTATTTTTCCCCCGACTTGGCGGTAATTTAGTATTTTGAGTTCCTTATAGGTACCAAATCTCTCCACAATAAAAATTATGAATATAGGTCAATTTTTTGGAATAGCACCCAATTTTCGGTATGTTGACGATCTTATGCGCGTTTTTCAACAGAATTCTCTGGAATTTGGTACATTGGGTTCTTATTGGGCACTAAATTTTCCAAGAAAAAAATTGGTCCACCTTTTTTGGTACTAAATTTTTTAACTAACAATTTTAAATATTGGTACACTTTTTCTGGTAGCCCCCATATAATGATACCCCCTAATTTTCAGTGCCACTTTGACATGGTAGTTAATTTTGATAAAACGGGTTGAGTTACAACTAAACTGCTTTTCATATTGCCTAACGCAGACGCACTAATAAGAATTACATCATTGATTCCTTGATTACATGCACCAAATAGTATTTTCAGTATGTAGGTAAATTTCACATTTTGTTGGTAAAATTTGAGATTTTCTTACTTTGGCATGGTAGTTGAATTTGAGAAAACGGGTTGAGTTATAACTAAACCGCATTGCATATAGCTTTACGCAGACGCACTAATAGTAAGTAAGAAAATCTTAAAGAAATCTTAAATTTACCTACAAAATGTGAAATTTACCTACATACAGAAAAAAATTTTAGTGCGTGTAATCAAATGTTGCAATGTTGCAAATCTTAGTACTGCGTCTGATATGTCAAGGTAAGAAAATCTCAAATTTTGCCTACAAAATGTGAAATTTAACTACATACTGAAAAAACTGCTTGGTGCATGCAGTCAAGGAATCAATGTTATAATTTTTATTAGTGCGTCCGCGTAAGGCTATATGCAAAGCGGTTTAGTTGTAACTCAACCCGGTTTCTCAAAATCAACTACCATGTCAAAGTAAGAAAATGTCAAATTTTACCTACAAAATCTGAAATTTAACTACATACTGAAAAAAGTCTTTGGTACAGGTAATCAAAGAATCAATCTTGTAATTCTTATTAGTGCGTCTGCGTAAGGCTATATGCAAAACGGGTTAGTTGTAACTCAACCCTTTTTCTCAAAATTAACTATCATGTAACAGTAAGAAAATCGTATACCTACAAAATGTGAAATATACCTACATACATGTAATCAAAAAATCAATGTTGTAATTCTTGTCTGAAGGCAACGGTTAGGCATTGCTCGCATATAAGAGTATCGGTATTTTGTGGTTCTAGAGCGAGTTTTTCATCCGAATTTGCTGAAATTTAGTACATTGGGTGCTAAAAGTCTTTTTTTATCGGGGTTTTTTATCGTATTTTTCCACCGACTTGGCGGTAATTTAGTATTTTGAGTTCCTTATAGGTACCAAATCTCTACACAAAAAAAAAAATTATGAATTCTCTGGAATTTGGTATATTGGGTTTTTATTGGACACTAAATTTCCCAACAAAAAAATTGGTCCACTTCTTTGGTACTAAATTTTTTAACTAACAATTTTAAATATTGGTACACTTTTTCTGGTAGCCCCCATATAATGATACCCCCTAATATTCAGTGCCACTTTGACATGGTAGTTGATTTTGATAAAACGGGTTGAGTTACAACTAAACCGCTTTTCATATTGCCTAACGCTGACGCACTAAGAAGAATTACATCATTGATTCCTTGATTACATGCACCAAATAGTATTTTCGGTATGTAGGTAAATTTCACATTTTTTTGGTATGATTTGAGATTTTCTTACTTTGGCATGGTAGTTGAATTTGAGGAAACGGGTTGAGTTATAACTAAATCGCTTTGCATATAGCTTTACGCAGACGCACTGATAGTAAGTAAGAAAATCTTAAAGAAATCTTAAATTTACCTACAAAATGTGAAATTTACCTACATACTGAAAAAAATTTTAGTGCGTGTAATCAAAGAATCAATGTAGCAAATCTTAGTACTGCGTCTGGTATGTGAAGGTAAGAAAATCTCAAATTTTCCCTACAAAATGTGAAATTTAACTACATAACACTGAAAAAACTGCTTGGTGCATGCAGTCAAGGAATCAATGTTATAATTTTTATTAGTGCGTCCGCGTAAGGCTATATATAAAGCGGTTTAGTTGTAACTCAACCCAGTTTCTCAACATCAACTACAATGTCAAAGTAAGAAAATCTCAAATTTTGCCTTCAAAATGTGAAATTTAACTACATACTGAAAAAAGTCTTTGGTACAGGTAATCAAAGAATCAATCTTGTAATTCTTATTAGTGCGTCTGCGTAAGGCTACATGCAAAACGGGTTAGTTGTAACTCAACCCTTTTTCTCAAAATCAACTATCATGTAAAAGTAAGAAAATCGTATACCTACAAAATGTGAAATATACCTACATACATGTAATCAAAAAATCAATGAAATGTAATGTAATCAAAAATCAAATGTAATTCTTATTAGTGTGACTGCGTAAGGCTATATGCAAAGCGGTTTAGTTGTAACTCAAGCCGTTTTCTCAAAATCAACTACCATGTCCAACTTAGAAAATCTCATTCATCGAAATATTCATTTCCGACCCTATAATGTATATATTCTTGATTTGGGTAAAATTCTAAGACAATCTAGACATGTCCGTCCGTCTGTTGTAATCACGCTATCTTCTGAAGGAATTAAGGTAGGGTGCTGAAATTTTGCACAGGTTTGTCTTCTGTCTGAAGGCAGGTCAAGTTCGAAGATGGGATATATCGGTCAACGGTTAGGCATTGCTCGCATATAAGAGTATCGGTATTTTGTGGTTCTAGAGCGAGTTTTTCATCCGAATTTGCTGAAATTTAGTACATTGAGTGCTAAAAAAATTGTGAACATAGGTCCACTTTTTCTGGTAGCCCCCATATAACGGTACTTCCTAATTTCCAGTATTTTGGGTGTTAAAAATGCCAAACTGGATTTTCTGCAAAAGCTGGGATGGTTAACTGCTGCCGAAATTAGGAAAGTATAGTCTCTTGAGCAGGAATAATTTCTCCTCGGAATAGTTATGAAAAAACCAAAGAAAGAAAAACAAAGGTTTTAGAATGGGAACTTTCCAAATGGTGGAATTTTATTGAACAAAATTCGGTATAGAATTTGGAAACTAATCTTACCAATGACAGTTGTGTTTGCTGGTTAGAATAGAAGTGTTTTTATTTACAATGAGAAGAAAGAAAACAACCAGTGAAAAACATAAAACATTTGCATTTAGTACCAAGAGAGAGATGCAAATTTAGGCGAATAAAAGGAAAATAGAAAATAGGGTGACCAGCATAGTTAACCTTGGCGTTAACATTACCGGCCCCCTTGCAGGAACTGCAACTAAAGACATTAACCAAAAAGTAGCACTCTCTCTCTTGTTTACAACAAATTGAATGTATTTAAATATATGTATATAGAGTTGTGAACGGGCTGTTACCAGGATACAGTCTTCCTTCAGAGTGACCACCTCCGGAATATATATGTCCGTAGCCACTGGATACTAAAGTCTGCTGTTAAGGAAAGTCTGTGCTTTTTGGGAAGGAGGAAAAAAACAATAGTGCATTAATTGGTGGAATATAATCGACATGAATAGCGACTAGTGTGTTCACTGGAGCAACTCTTATCTTGGAAGACACCAGGTGAGTGAATACGGACGTACCTATAGCTATTTGCACGTAAAAAACGGCTGCGTATGTCTTTCTGGGTGCATCGCAAAAGCCATGGAACTGAATGCCAGCCGAAGGAGTAAAACTGATCCACATCGGAATTCGAACTCTATCATGAACTAAGTAGTTTGACTGGAATATTTTCCAATTGGGCAATATGGAGGGACTTATATCTGGGATCATATCTTCTGCATAATCGCACCATATCTTCTGCATAATAACCTTCGCTACAACTGTGCATGGCGAAAGCCAATCGGCATGATCGAATAATTTGGAGATCTGAGGCAGGATTTCCCATTTTGTATAAGAACATGACAAGGCTACATGAAATAGATGATCATTGGGAAGATCTCGAATGTCTCTCGAATTAGATGTCCATTTTCGAAGGCAAAAGCCAGCGGAATCCAGGACAGATTTGAGTTCGGCTTTGGATCGAATGGCGGACGAAACTGAATGGGATCCGAAAATCACGTCATCGACGTACATGAAATTATGAAAAATCTCGCTTGAAATTGTATATAAATCTTGAACAACGTCAGCAAGTTGGAGAACAGTGCGAATAGCCAAGTACGGAGCACAATTGACACAGAAAGTGACAGTTTGTAACTCGAAATCATGAATGTTTTCACCTGGGTGGTTGCGGAATATTATACGTTGGAACGGAGTATGATCTGGATGAACAAGAATCTGGCGGTACATATTCTCGATGTCCGCATTGAATATAATTCGGAAGAAACGCCATTTGAGAAGGAAAGTGGTCAAGTCAGATTGCAACACCGGACCAGCGTGCAAAACATCGTTCAGGCTGTGACCATTGGACGTATCTGAAGGATGTGGTAAATCATAATGACGTGAAGCACTATTTAAACATGGATTAGGAACTGAGACCATGTGTTTCGACTGAACGTACTCATTGAGTACCTGATCATACTCCTTTTTACAGTCTGAATTACGAAGAAGTCGGCTCTCATTGCAAAGGAATTGTGTTACAACTCTTGAACGGAATCGACCAAGGCCCATTTTCTCTGAGGAACCTTGGTTGAAAGGAAAACGAACGACATACCTACCATCTTTATTCCTTTTTGTAGTGGAAACGTAGAGCTCCTCACAATATTCATCGGTGTCAGGAGGAATTTTTTCTCTAGGAAGGTTCTCAACTTCGTAGGAATGACAAATCTCTTTGACTAAGGAGACCTCGCAGAAATTGGAAGTAAGAGAGGCTGGTGGAGTGAAATCCGGAACGGGGCCAGTTAAAATCCATCCGAAGATAGTTTCTTGTCCCATTAAGGAGTCGCAAATATCGCGCATTACCCCAGCACGCATGATGTTTGGAAGAAAATCACCGCCTATAAGGATATCGATGCTTGAGCTTTTGAAGAAATGTGGGTCAGCCAGATTAATTGAAGGAAGTTGAGAGAACAAATATGGTGGTAATGTGCGGGAAGGAAGATTTCCAGACAAATGTGGAACCACGAATGCTTGCACGGAAAGCTGAACGGAATCATCAAATCGAGAGGACAGCACAACAGAACATAATTTTCGAACGGAGGCAGCTGCCGAGTTATTAAGACCAGAAACTTGAACGTTGGTACGCTGATACGAAAGTTTTAGTTTGTTGAAGAATCGTTCGGATATGAATGTTCCTTGAGAACCCGAATCTAGGAGTACACGAGCGTGATACGTTACACCTAAGTGGATCACATTCACCAACGCAGTCCCTAACAAAACACCCCGAGAGTTGGATGTAAAACATGTTTGAATTACTCCACCCCCTGAACTAGTGGCCTGTATTGAATTGGGAGCAAATTGAGTGGAGTGTGGGCTTAAATTGGCAGAGCTCGTAGGTGAATTTGAACGATCATGGAGCATAGTGTTGTGCCGCCTCTGACATTCGAAACAATTATTTTTACTCGTACAATTTTTTATGTGGTGAGTTTTCGAGAAACAATTCAGACATAGACCTTGTTTCTTGATCTCAGCCACTCGTTGTTCAACATCCATAGCAATGAATCTAGGACATTTTCGAATTATATGAGCGGAATTTCTGCACAAAGGACAATTTGGAGCCGTAACATTGGTCTGAAATGAGCTGAACTTCGAATTATTTGAATGTATATTGGATTTAGTTTTATGACCATCAGACTTCGGATAATTGCGCATCTCGGAGACGGATTCGAGCGTACGATGTCGATTCGTAAGGAAAGAATCAAGGTCAGCCCATTTTGGAATAACAGTCTTGTCAGCCAAACCTTGTTCCCAAAGCGTCAGAGTTGAGTCAGGAAGACGATTCGAACAAAGAAAAACAAATATTGGATCCCAACTTCTGACGTCGATATCGTACAGAGATAACGCAGCAATACAAGAATTTATGTCGCGTTGCAATGACTTAATTGCACTCGCTGACTCGGAATTAATGACAGGAAGATTGAGTAGAACTTTTAACTGACCATTAACAAGAATTCGCTTATTTTCGAAACGATCGCACAAACCTTTCCAAGCAAGTTGAAAACCTTGATTTGTCAAAGGTGCGCGTTGAACAATATCTCTAGCTTCGCCTTTAGTCTTCTGGGTCAAATGAAACAATCGCTCGACTGGACTGAGCCTAGAATTTTTTATGTACACGGCTGTGAATAAATCTCGGAAAGTAGGCCATGACATATAATCCCCGTTGAAGACTTCGGTATCACATGGAGGCAAATTGAAAGAATAATTTGAACCGTGATCATTATGGACCATAGAATTAGGACTCTGAGGCGAAGGGTTTGGAAGTGAAACAGACGGCTCTTTAGGAACTGTTTGGAGATCCTCAGACAACTGTGTAAGGCGAGCCAAGCACTCGCAATAAGTGATATAGGCACTATTATACTTGGCTTGGAATGTCTCAAGCTCTGAAGCGGCTTCTGCATCTTCTTCCTGTTCATTATCCTCCTCGTTCTGTTCTTCGCTAGCTCGATCGGACATAAATTGGTCATACGCTGATTTGGTGCCTGCCCATAAGGACTTAACTTCAGAAATGTGAATTTTTACGAATTGGGCAGACGTCAAGGGAACATTACCACGGACTACTTCGGCATTGAAGGTGACCAGACGATCGGCTTGACGAATGAAGGCTTCCAAAGACATGATTGATCAGTGAAAATGAATGAAAATTGATTTAGAACAAGAAACTAGTAAAGAATAGAAGAAGAACAATAAGAACGGAAGGAAATTGGATAATTTCTCAAACAAATTTGGTTGGAAGATATAAGAACTTGTTGGAAAATGCGTTTTTCTTTGTATTTTCTTCTTTGTACAGCGCCACCTAGTGGTGAAGAAATGAACAATTGGTAAAACAACGAAAGAAAATAAATATAGTAGGTGAATGTCTAGGAAAATCCCAGGAAAATCCGGAAGAAATTAGAATAATATTGAAAAAATTATGAATTTCGAGGTATTATTAACTAATTAAAGCGCTCCCTGGTGACAATGGAGCAAACTACGAACAATTACACAGTCTGAACAAATGTGCAGTTGATAAATGTCCAAAGGATTAAAGTAAAACCAGGAAATATTGAAAAAATTAAAGTTTTCGAAGTGGTTTTGAACTTGTAGAGCGCCCTCTAGTGGTGGAATAATGTACTGCACCTTAGCACAGTCGAAGAACAGAATTACAAAATGTAAATATCCAAGAACAATCAGAAATATTTGGATAAATCTTGAAAAAATCTAGTTTTTCTACGAAATTTTTTATATGGACAGCGCCCTCTAGCGGCTGTAATGTGAACTAAAAAATGAACAAGAAGAAAGTACAGCCCCAACTACCTTGATATATGTTCGAATAATATATTTATATATGAATGTCGCAAACAAGTTACAGTGTGACCATATGAAAGGAACGACGGTAGGGTGCACGCACACGTAAAGAGAATAGCTTTACTACTGTTGAGTGAAAACACACGTAAGAGAACGCTGATGGTTGGCTGAACGCACGAACAAACAAACCAACAGCGGCCACCCACCAACAGGAGAAGTAATGTATGTATGAATGTGTGTTGTGTGAGAACAAGCAGTGCGGTAACGAACGCTGGTCGTTGGATGACCGAACAGACGAACAGCCAAACAAACAAGAATAGAATAAATGTACGTATGACGGTGTGTTATATGAGGACGAGTAGTTATTGTTCTAAAGAGACGAATGTAAGAAGATCTCTAACATCAACAACTACTGTGGTAAAAAGATGTAACGATCGTAAAGAAGAAAATAACACACCAACAAACACGTATAAAAACAATTAGTACCAATTCTCGCGGTAGAAAAGAAAAAAAAATAAATGGTGTTAGTTTGAAGCACTTTGAAATTAATATAAACAGAAAAATATATATAAATTGAGCTAAGGAATGAAAAGAATAATTTGTAAATGTTGATATCGAATATTCCACCAAAAATTTTAATGAATAAAATTACGAAAGTGTGGTGTTATTGGAAAAAGAAAAGTACAGAAATTTTACTGCAGTTGCGAAACACTGTGCGCTTGAAAAAAATAAAAACAAGTTTCCGTCGGCAAAACGCACTTTAACACCACACTGAATTATGCACTATTGTTCACTTTAGGAATGTAAAGCACAAACTTACCTTTATTTTTTGATGAAATTGTTTGGAGTAAATTGGAGTAAACGAATTTTATTTATAGAATTTTACAACAGCTATCCAATTATCCGGTGCGAATGGACCAAAATGAAAATGCCAAACTGGATTTTCTGCAAAAGCTGGGATGGTTAACTGCTGCCGAAATTAGGAAAGTATAGTCTCTTGAGCAGGAATAATTTCTCCTCGGAATAGTTATGAAAAAACCAAAGAAAGAAAAACAAAGGTTTTAGAATGGGAACTTTCCAAATGGTGGAATTTTATTGAACAAAATTCGGTATAGAATTTGGAAACTAATCTTACCAATGACAGTTGTGTTTGCTGGTTAGAATAGAAGTGTTTTTATTTACAATGAGAAGAAAGAAAACAACCAGTGAAATTTTCGGTATGTTGACGATCTTATGCGCGTTTTTCAACAGAATTCTCTGGAGTTTGGTACATTGGGTTCTTATTGGGCACTAAATATCCCAACAAAAAAATTGGTCCACTTTTTTTGGTACTAAATTTTTTAACTAACAATTTTTTGACATGGTAGTTGATTTTGATAAAACGGGTTGAGTTACAACTAAACCTAACGCAGACGCACTAATAAGAATTACATCATTGATTCCTTGATTACATGCACCAAATAGTATTTTCAGTATGTAGGTAAATTTCACATTTTGTAGGTAAAATTTGAGATTTTCTTACTTTGGCATGGTAGTTGAATTTGAGAAAACGGGTTGAGTTATAACTAAACAGCTTAGCATATAGCTTTACGCATACGCACTAATAGTAAATAAGACAATCTTAAAGAAATCTTAAATTTACCTACAAAATGTGAACAAAATGTTGGCTATATGCAAAGCGGTTTAGTTGTAACTCAACCCGTTTCTTTAAAATAAGCTGCGATGTCAAAGTAAGAATATATCAAATTTTAACTACAAAATTTGATATTTACCTACATACTGCAAAAACTTTTCGGTGCATGTAATCCAAGAATCAATGTTGTAATTCTTATAAGTCCGTCTGCGTAAGGCCATATGCAAGGCGGTTTAGTTGCAACTCAACCCGTTTTCTCAAAATCAACTACCATATCAAAGTAAGAAAATCTCAGATTTTGCCTTCAAAATGTGAAATTTACCTAAATACTGAAAAACTTTTTGGTGCATGTAATCAAAGAATCAATGTTGTAATTCTTATTAGTGCGTCTGCGTTATGCTATATGCGCTTACAGTTTAGTTGTAACCTAACCCGTTTTCTCAAAATCAACTACCATATCAAAGTAAGAAAATCTCACATTTTGCCTACAAAATGTGAAATTTACCTACATACTGAAAAACTTTTTGGTGCATGTAATCAAAGAATCAATGTTGTAATTCTTATTAGTGAAATATGCAAAACGGGTTAGTTGTAACTCAACCCTTTTTCTCAAAATCAACTATCATGTAAAAGTAAGAAAATCTTATACCTACAAAATGTGAAATATACCTACATACATGTAATCAAAAAATCAATGTTGTAATTCTTATTAGTGTGACTGCGTAAGGCTATATGCAAAGCGGTTTAGTTGTAACTCAAACCGTTTTCTCAAAATCAACTACCATGTCCAAGTTAGAAAATCTCATTCATCGGAATATTCATTTCCGACCCTATAAAGTATATATATTCTTGATTTGGGTAAAATGCTAAGACAATCTAGACATGTCCGTCCGTCCGTCTGTTGTAATCACGCTATCTTCTGAAGGAATTAAGGTAGGGTGCTGAAATTTTGCACAGGTTTGTCTTTTGTCTGAAGGCAGGTCAAGTTCGAAGATGGGATATATCGGTCAACGGTTGGGCGTTGTTCGCATATAAGAGTATCGGTATTTTGTGGTTCTAGAGCGAGTTTTTCATCCAAATTTGCTGAAATTTAATACATTGGGTGCTAAAAGTCTCCACCAAAAATTGTGAACATAGGTACACTTTTTCTCGTAGCCCCCATATAACGGTACCTCCTAATTTTCAGTATTTTGGGGGTTTTTATCGTATTTTTCCACCGACTTGGCGGTAATTTAGTATTTTGAGTTCTTAATAGGTAACAAATCTCTCCACAAAAAAATTATGAATATAGGTCAATTTTATGGAATAGCACCCAATTTTCGGTATGTTGACGATCTTATGCGCGCTTTTCAACAGAATTCTCTGGAGTTTGGTACATTGGGTTCTTATTGGGCACTAAATTTCCCAACAAAAAAATTGGTCCACTTTTTTTGGTACTAAATTTCTCAACTAAAAATTTTAAATATTGGTACACTTTTTCTGGTAGCCCCCATATAATGATACCCTTTAATTTTCGGTGCCAGATTTTGAGGAAACGGGTTGAGTTATAACTAAACCGCTTTGCATATAGCTTTACGCAGACGCACTAATAGTAAGTAAGAAAATCTTAAAGAAATCTTAAATTTACCTACAAAATGTGATATTTACCTACATACTGAAAAAAATGTTGGTGCGTGTAATCAACGAATCAATGTTGCAAATCTTAGTACTGCATCTGCGTAAGGCTATATGCAAAGCGGTTTAGTTGTAACTCAGCCCGTTTTATCAAATCAACTACCATGTCAAAGTAAGAAAATCTCGAATTTTTCCAACAAAATGTGAAATTTACCTACATACTGAAAAAGAAACTTTTTGGTGCATGGAAACAAAGAATCAATGTTGTAATTCTTATTAGTTCGTCTGCATAAGGCTATATGCAAAACGGGTTAGTTGTATCTCAATCCGTTTTATCAAAATAAACTACCATATCAAAGTAAGAAAATCTAAAATGTTACCTACAAAATGTGAAATTTACCTACATACTGAAAAAAATTTTTCTTGCATGTAATCAAAGAATCAATGTTGTAATTCTTATTAGTGCGTCTGCGTAAGGCTATATGCGAAGCGGTTTAGGTGTAACTCTATCCGCTTTCTCAAAATCAACTACGAATTCATTAATATTAAGATTCACCACATTTGGGGCAGTCCCCATATAAACCCCTTTTTTACCCTCCACCATAGTATGGAGTGTATATTGATTTTGTCATTCCGCCATTCATCGAAATATTCATTTCCGACCCTATAAAGTATATATTCTTGATTTGGGTAAAATTCTAAGACAATCTAGAAATGTCCGTCCGTCTGTTGTAATCACACTATCTTCTGAAGGAATTAAGGTAGGGTGCTGAAATTTTGCACAGGTTTGTCTTTTGTCTGAAGGCAGGTCAAGTTCGAAGATGGTATATATCGGTGAACGGTTAGGCATTGCTCGCATATAAGAGTATCGGTATTTTGTGGTTCTAGATCCCGTTTTTCGTCTGAATTTACTGAAATTTAGTACATTGGGTGCTAAAAGTCTCCACAAACAATTGTGAACATAGGTCCACTTTTTCTGGTAGCCCCCATATAACGGTACCTCCTAATTTTCAGTATTTTGGGGGTTTTATCGTATTTTTCCACCGACTTGGCGGTAATCTCTCCACAAAAAATTATGAATTGT